TAATTTTTGACTCAAAAACTTTCCTATGAATGACTAAAATATTAATAACTGTAATTTTATCATGTATTGTAAACATAATATATAATTAAACGTGTGATTGTGCGTGTATTAGGACACCCCTGCATTGTGCTGCCTCATGCAATAACCTGTCCATGGTGAAATTCCTGGTTGAGAAGGGCGCCTGTATTTTCGCCACCACTCTGTCGGATAAGGAAACGGCTGCCGAGAAGTGTGAAGAGGATGAGGAAGGATTTGACGGCTGTTCCCAATATCTTTACGGTACGTGCCGTTTGCGGTCTTAACTCTTAAGTTGTATTTTATTACCCATGGGTTGCAAACTGTCGTCTCACTCGCTATTATTGGTATCGGAATTAATGACTTATAAAACTGATGTGTGTTTAACAGGCATTCAAGAGAAACTGGGAATTTTGAATTCAAATCAAGTCTACGCTGCCTATGACTACGAGTCTCAAAATACTGACGAACTTAGCTTTAAAGAGGGAAACGTTATGACAGTCATCAGGAGAGGCGATGATCAGGAGCGCGACTGGTGGTGGGCCAGGGGTGACGACCAGGAAGGCTATGTGCCCCGCAATCTGCTCGGAGTAAGTTATTTATATACTGTATATAGATTGCAGAGTCTGTAATCAGGTTATTGTGTAAATGCCTAACATTTAGACAATTTATTGTTATTATTATGAACACATAATAGCATATAATATAATGTTATTAAATGTATATTTGACTATAAATTTTCATTTGGCGTCTATTTTGACAGTTGTATCCGAGAGTCAAATCCAATAAAGAGCTTCAAACCATTGCTGAAGAACACAATGAATGACTTCAATAAACAGTCTTACGATCACATGAATGGGTCGATTCCGTCCAATACATACCTAACTGTGATTAGGCTATAGTTGTATTAATTAGTATTATTAAAGATTCTCAATAATCAGTGCCTTTACTACTATTATCAATAATATCTGATGTTTTAATTTAATT